TCTGTTGTTTCTGTCTATCTTACTTGTCCCCTCTGTTGTTTCTGTCTATCTTACTTGTCTCCTCTGTTGTTTCTGTCTATCTTACTTGTCCCCTCTGTTGTTTCTGTCTATCTTACTTGTCTCCTCTGTTGTTTCTGTCTATCTTACTTGTCCCCTCTGTTGTTTCTGTCTATCTTACTTGTCCCCAGCTGTGAATGACCATAATTGTACGTGTGTGCTTCTCTCTAAGGGTGGTTGGCAGGTGCTCTGATGTGGTCTGCTTTTTTTTTCCAATCCAACATCTATCGTCCTTAACTCTCCTCCTTTTTTGTGTTTGTTACTCTCTTGTATCACCTCTAATCTCCGGCACTTATATGACCTTATTGTGTTGCAAGTGCCGTAAAACACTTACTTAATCTAAACTGACATTTAAATGAATCAAAAGATTAGAATGTAGTTATTGTTATTGTTGTTGTTATTATTATTGTTGTTATTGTTATTATTATTGTTGTTATTGTTATTTCTATTATTGTTGTTATTGGTCTTCTTATTGTAATTGTAATTATGTCCCTCATGACTGTGTCTGTCTGTGTGTGTGTGTGTAGGTTCGGGCATGGTGACAGAGTGGGAGCAGGAGACGACGACCTTGATCGCCTCGGGCAACGCTCGCATCATGCGTCTGTGGGACATGCAGCGGGAGAAGAAGATCAGTGTAAGTCACAGCGGATTTGTGGAATCGGAGTCCCCTCGGCTGTTTTTCTTTGAGATCTGGAAAGCTCAGGAATTTTTGGTGGAAGCCAGTTGGTACTTTTGTTTTGTCTCAACCTTTTGCAGCTCCAAGAACTGTTTTAGCACGTCTGTTTGTTTCTCCAGCAAGCTGATAACATAACATCCTTTGGCCAGACGGCACAATTGTACCAGAGGGAGGGAACTGTTTCTGTGAGCCACTGGGCCTTCACTACGACACCTTCCTGGTTTCCTGGTTGAAAATTTAGAATTTGAATTTTCTCGGCAACATATTTTTTAAGCTCACAGATAGCACCGACTAAGCAACTGAAATTTTCTTTTTCATAATTTTGGACTAAGGACAGTGGAAACCTGATATAAAAGGGATGGTGGGAGTAGAGAAAATGTCCTGTTATATCGGTTCCCTGTTAAATCAGAAATGCAAGGGAAGTAAGCGTTTGTGGACTAATCCAGCTGTATTTATTCATGGGTAGTTTCCCTTGCCACAAGTACCCACGGACAGGGCTTTTGGACACCACAGCCCTCTCTCGTTTCTCCTGCTGCGTGTGCTTGCAGTGGCGTGGCTTGTGTGGGCTTGCTCCATCTCTCTCTCTCTCTCTCTCTCTCTCTCTCTCTCTCTCTCT